TTCTAGCAGAGGTACTTTCCGGGAGAGAGTTAGGCAATCCTTGTAGTTTTCTGAAAGCGCACCTCAGGCACAATCAAAATCTACCTCAACAAGTCAAAAAAGTACGTCCCAAGAAAGTTATTCCCCTCTAAAATTTTTTCTTCGCCGCGTCCCGTTCTTCCAGCGCCCGGGTGATACCTGCCGCGCTCCAAGGCTGACGCGCGCAGACGCTTTCTGGCGCAACGGATTCATGTCTAGCACTCTTATTAACAAAAACAGGGGGTCGCAAAAGTCCCGAGAATGTTCGAACGTGCTCGCAACCCCGAAGCCAGCCTAGAGGGCTATTCCGCGCTGACTTTAGCAATGCTTGTCTTCATACATTGAAGTGGTTCCCAAACCAGGCCACCTAGCGAATCCAACAAAACGAGAGCGATATTCTCAGAAAACGGAGTTCGGGCTTTGGTTGAGCTGGTGCTTCCTGGCTGCGAGGCAGCCATCAGACGTGCCGCATGTTGTTGTCGCAGTGGACTCATGACTCATTTCCACTGGTGACCGATTAGGGAAGGCTCTGCTTTTGCCGTCCCAGAATGGATTTTCCCCAGATGGTCAGGCGTGCTTCCCGCTCATGGTCGGCCGGACCATAAGGTTTCCATCAAAACTTCATTCTGCAGCAGTCCTTGCCATACTGATGGCGTGTGCTGGTGCATCGGCTGCGCTCAGGTATCTGCTACAATACCCTGGTAGCAACGTGCGGAGGCACTCCCAATTTAGGGTGCAAGGGGCGCTCATCAAAAATGACCGCAGGCCCAGTATGAGGTTGAAGTTCATAGCTCGTTTCGTCTTTGCCGTTGCGATTGGACCACTAGCTCAGTACCCTATCAGTAGCAGAGACTGGGTCAAACACAGCGCTGATCTTCTCTGTTGTCCTCCTTGCTACAGAGTTCATTTGAGGATCGTAAAGCATAATCATTCATTATAGTCACTGACCTATTTTTATTCCTAGTTGATTAACCCGTTAGGGCTTGCGTTTCCGAAACCATGCTGTTAAGGCTCTTGAAGCATACTTCAACATACTAACGTATTTCGCAATGAAACGGTCTTAGACGGAAGAAATTTGAAATTGAATAGAAATGCGACAGGAATTATGAGACAACCCAATATTATATTTTCAGTTGAATAACCCGAACATTAATGGTTCTGCCCGAAGCAAATACCTTACGTCAATGATATGTAGTTATTCGTCCAGTATTTTTGAGCCTTTCCCAAAAATGGATTTCAATATGTGACACATGTCGGGAAAAACAACATTTTTTTATCAGATTAGCGTCTCATATTGAAGAATATAATAAATAATCACTAACAAATACCAAGGTTACGAATGCATTTTTTTCTCATTGGAGTTGCTCAAGCGTTTCAGTACAGAGCTGATCATTGTGGTAACCTATTATGATTATTTCAGAAAAGAAGAACACTTCCAATTACCTCGAATTTCATACAACTAAAAATTACACTTTTGAAATCTTTTTGAATAAAACTGTTCGAGGTGGACATGTGCAGTATCCTGCATCTGATCCTGGTATTCCAGGACGTCCTTGTAGACCTCTTGGACCTGGTTTTCCTGGTTCTCCTCTATAACCAGGTAACCCATTTGGCCCCATAGCACCAGGCAATCCATCTTGAGCTCGATAGCCATGCTTTCCAGGGAGACCTGAACACAAACGAACACTTAAGAGATTGGAAAGCTCACAACGGTCAGGGTATGTCAAACCTGGTTCTCCCGCTTTTCCTGGATGCCCTGGGAGACCTCTTCTCCCTACCGAAATGACACCATTCCTTCCTGGAGCACCAGTTTTTCCAGGTTCTCCTCGTTCACCTCAAGAGACAATTTTGCACTTGATGGAACAAGATTCTGCGAACTAGCCAAACCTGGAAATCCTTTATCTCCTTCAGGACCAGGAGGGCCACGTGGTCCACTCCTTGTTGTTTGTCCTGGAGGACCTGAATAGCAAATAAATTTGACTCATTCAACATTGCGAAACACCAAAATTTGAGCATACCTGGAAGGCCAGGTGGACCTTTAGCACCCTCCTTCCCTGTGGCTTCCACGGAATCCTGGAGGACCAGACGGGCATCGCACACATGCCGTATCTCGAGGAGTGCATACAATGGCCGGATAAACTTTGAAGTTGTCACGACCTGGTGGTCCTCGTTCTCCTCGCACTGAAGGCTTGAGTAAGATAATTGTACATACTTTTTGTTATAACTAATAATCAGGAAGTTCTGTTACTGCTAGAATATGCAGGAATCTTAGAGGTGTTGGGAGGCAGGAAAGCATTGTTCAAATAAAAGCGAGGACCAATTTGATGTGGTAATCAGAGTCAACCCTGCGTTGCGCAGTTCGCAACGGCACGTTGAGAGATCCTCAACGCACGCTGTATGGGCGGAGACACAGACGGCTCGAGCATGCGAGTGTGAATGTTCGCGCGAGAGAACGTGTCTAATCGGGCGAAACTGCGCAACGCAGGGTTGACTCTGGTGGCAATCTCACTCGAATACGAAAGCAGAGGTGCGCATTGGAACAAAAGTGGAGAAAAAAGGAGGAAATATCGTCAAAACATCGAAAATACGAGCCTCCTTACTCTACGCTGTGGAGATGTCCAAGATTCAAGCTTCAAAAGAAGAGATGTGTAAGTCGCGGAAAAGGGAGAACACTGGAATCTAGAGAGCGCAGGATCACCCACCAAAAGGCAGAGAACTCATCAAAAAGTGGTCGGGTACGGTCCGACCGAGCATCAGCGAGTCGAAATCTCTGGCAACCTCAGTCGTCCGAAACCTTAGTAAGGCGTTTTGAGGTGATATTTTGTCGCGACATCTATAGTTGCGGCCTAGCATCAACACTGCGTCCCATAATTATACGTCCACCTAAGAATTTCCCAAAATCTCACAAATATAGATGTTTCGAAAAAAGTCTCCAATGTGACAATGTGTCATATATAAATACGGAATTGCCTATGAACATCAATTTTCTATTTGAGATCACAGGAATTTTTTCCAATAATTTTTGTGTAAAAGGCCACTCAGCCGACGTCCCAAAATTATACGTCCACCTCACGTTTATCGATTACTTTTCACTTCTGTTCCACGAAACTTTTTCATTGTGGTAACACTTCACTTCTTAAGGGGACAGCATAATAAAAACTGCTGTTGGATTTTGAAGAAGGTTAGGTTGTCGCAAAAACTGTGGAACAACGCATTCACGCCAGATTTGGACCAAATTCACGCCAAGCTAAAGGGGTTTTACATGATATGGAGTTCAGAAGAGCTTTAAAGGGTCTCTCATTACTTTTCGAACGAAACAAAGGCCGTGTCACAAAAGAAACATCCACTTTCATCCAACGGTGCTCTGTCATCGAATCTTCTTCAGAACTTAATGCCTCAACCAACTTTTGTTTCATGCGTGTGAAGGAATCCCAAGATCATTTCTTTATTTTATTATTTATTTATTCATAACTTGCTATGCAAGTCTTAGTCTCAAGCGGTGCTGATCCAGCAAGCTTGCCAGCGGCAGCGTGGAACGTCCCCATTGATCCAATGGCGGTTTGCCATAGGCGAAGTGGTGAGCATCCACCACGTTGCTTGCAAAAGTCGCGTCACACACGGGTTTGAACCTTCGGTGCATCGTCCCATGAGCGGCATCGCTACCACTGCACTATGGAGCCCTTCTTATTGACGGTGAAAGAGATTCTAGAGGAAAGGCAATAACCCACAAAAGTTGCAAAGATTTTGACATCTAGTAGTATCGATCCCGTGGCCGGCTCAACACAAACGTGGACCGCAGGCGCTACACCATTGACGGATCAATGCAAGTTGCTTCCCTTTCCCTTTTCAACTTACTGCGTTGACCCACACAGCCTGGCTGTTTGGAGATGGCCATCTCTAAAAAGTCCTCCGGAGGACTTTTTAGAGATGAAGTGGCAGCATGTTTGCGCCCTCCACCGCGCGCGCACTATTTCCTTTTCCTCTGCCGCCATCGCTGTTAGTTTATAAATGACCACACCCTGCTAATCCTCTTACTAGCACGTGATGTCATCACCCCAACTTCCAAGTAAGTTCGAACTCACTTCGACCATTCCGACGGGGAATCTTCGGAGGGGTTCCAGAGGTGCTCTACGCATCTTTTAGGGAGACATGGATGGAAGCCATGACCAAGTTACCACGAGCTCATGGTCACATGGTAACTAGCAGTTGAGGCCACTTTACTACCGTCCCTGATCAGAATAACATAACCACCACCGTAGTCACTGAAATGCGTGCATTTGCTAGTGAAGTTTTGGAAGCTTCCAGCCCAGAATGAAGGAAACTGGGGGTTGAAGAATTTGGAGAAGTCGTTTTTGGGTGGTCGCAATCTTTAACTTTCTTCTCTGGCAGATGCTTATTCAGGGCGCAGGGGAGGCGATAGTCCGATAGAGCGATGCCAATGCTATATGGTGGATGAGGTATCGTGGCCCTGGCTATCTCCCTCAGAACGTGGTGAGTTGGCATTGCAATGTGAGGTCTGGCGTACATTCGGAGAAAGGAGAATCTGAGACGTTTCTGACGATTCCCTCGCAACCAGGGTCAACCGTCCGTTCGAACTGTTCGAACGAAGGGGTCGCATTTTGGTCGGAAGGGGGTCGCAATTTCGAGGACTGCCAGCCACAGGCGCGTGCGTGGCGTATCCGAGGCAAGATTGTTTGTGCAGACCGCATTAGATTCGATTTATTATGCACAGAGAGACAGTTTTAGGCAAATTACGGTGTTTTCTTAGGAATAAAGAACAGTTGAATGCATCCCTATGAAAGGTTTGACTTCTCGGGGCTGAAATTAAAGTTCTTCGGACCTAATTTTTGGGGACGATTCTTCCAGACAACTGTAAACACATAAGAAAGCAGAAATCTCGTAGTCTTCAAAAATGTCTTCGCCCCTCCCAACAAGTTCTTTGAAGGAAGTTATTATTGCTGAAAGCTCAAAAACTCGCATGTGCTGCTCAAAAACCTATGGGAACAAAATGTTCGAACGTGTGATTTTCTCGAAAAATGGATTTTGAAAAACGGTTTGGTGCTTGTTCAGAAAGAGCAAATCCTGTACTTTCACCCCATGAAAAAAGTGCATCACAGAAATGAAAATGAAGTGAGTTATGCCCGCTTAAAGCCCAAAAACTCGCGATTTCAAAAAAAGTGTTCGGCAAAACCCCCCAAAATGTTCGAACGTGTGATTTTCTCGAAAAATGAACTTTGAAAAACGGTTTGGGGCTTGTTAGAAAGAGCAAAATCCTGTCACCCCATGAAAAAAGTGCATCACAGAAATGAAAATGAAGTGAGTTATGGTCGCTGAAAGCCCAAAAACTCGCTTTTGCACGAAAAATGTTCGAACGGGACAATTTTTTGAAAAAGGGGACAATCACTAAACTTTTTATACTGTTTTGTTAGAGAAATATTTGAAGTTTCTGAAACTTTTTACAGATTTCCAAAATGTCGCATACGAAAGATTTTATGGGCCTTCAAAGTTGAAGGTGCGCCTTCTTAGAATTTTGGGTTTTCCACTTCTAACAGAAGTACTTTCCGGAGAGACTTAGGCGAATCGCGCGATTCGCTAGCGTCTGCGGTCGCGTCGCGGCCAGTGAATCACTCAATTGGCTGGTACCGCAACGCGACCGCGGACGCTAGCGAATCGCGCGAATCGCTAGTAGCGAATCGCGCGATTCGCAAAGTCTGACATCGGCCTTAGGTTTTCTTGAGGAACAATGGATAGTTATTCTTTCAGCGATGTGCCATGTATTGATTGCATTCCTCCACGCGTAAATGGAATCGCTCCTGATTGTGGGGAAAATTTATATCACATTTCGGGCAGTCCGAGATTGGCGATCAACAATTTGTCCTTGAATGTCGATATGACATACATTAATTAATCCTGGAGGAGTAAAAGGTGAAGCCAACCCAAAACGGAATGGATCCGAGATCACCATGGCCATTCAAGAAGAGATGTATACCACTAGATGTGCCTTTGAACGCTGATCTCAAATCTACCTTCCAAATCTGCTAAACGATTCTCTGAAGGAGTTATGAAGCAAAACAGCGCAACGGTAGTGGTCGGGATTTAACGGTCAGACCTCGTAGGATCAATCCCTCGTCGCGTCTACTGTTTTTTTTTATGAAAATACAACAGTTAGCCTACTGAGCACTATATTCGAGAAAAGCGAAACAGTAAACACGATAAGAGATCGATCCTACGACGTTTTGACTGTGTCCCGACCACTACCGTTGCGCTGTTTTGCTTCATAACTCCCTTCAGAGAATCGTTTAGCAGATTTGGAAGGTAGATTTGAGATCAGCGTAAGGCACATCTAGTGGTATACATTTTTGAATGGCCATGGCGACCTGGGATGCTTTCCTTGTGGGCAGAATTAGGTTTAGGTTTCTAGTCGCGAAATATTCGCGCGGCAGCGGCGGTGCATACTACTTGTGCACCTGAAACTGACATTTTTCAATAGAAAAGTGGATATGCGGAGAAATTATTCATTTTTATCCTCAGCGCACATTATCAATCATTGCTGTATGCGTCTTATTCTCCTCGACAGGAGAAGATTTTCGTATGCTAGACCATTTTCTTTCTTTTTTTTCTTAGCTGTAGATCCTCTTTACATTTTTTCTTTCATGCTCTAGCGCTATAGCCACATCAAAATGGTCAAGCGATCTGCTTATAAGTATGGCTGATGACTACAAGTTACGCTCGTGGCCAGGACGTACTGAAGAGTGTTCGCGATACTGTATGTATCATTTCGCTTTAATACGAAGAAGCACCTCATTGACTTTCTTAAATCCTGTACATTGTCCTAATTTTTCACATTCTATTGGGTTGTCTCATAATTCCTGTCGCAATTTCAACAATTCGTTTATCCAAGTTTTATCGCTCCTAGGAAACATCTGGGACGGTAGTAAAGTGCCCTAGACTGGCAGTCAAATGTGGTGATTTACATCCATTGGCGAGGAAGTAGAGAACGTGGAAACATGGACATGACCCTCGTTGAAACCGCCAGCCTCGCCACACGACCTGCAAAACTTGCAACCTCTCGGACTTGAGCCCTGGATGGTAGGCTCATAGCCTGGTTTTTGCCACTGCACCA